GTCCTGGGGGAGGGTCCTTAGTGAGTTCCAGGGCAAGAAAATGGGGAGCGCATTAATGAGACTCACAGAGAACTGGAAAGTCTGAGGTCCAGAGCAAAAGCAATAGCCAGTGCAAGGTCTTCACCACTCAGCTGTGTCAACAAATAAAATGGTCCATTTCTTCTGGAGCCTTTCCTAGTTGCCTTTGCAAGTGCTTGTGTGTGTGTACGTATGTGCGTGTGTGTGCACACACACAAACACACACACACACACACACACACACACACACACCCCATATCACATCTTAAAAGAAAACCAATGAAGGTCTACACAGTTTGTTCTTGGCGGCCTGTGGAGGCTTCCCCCCACCCCCCACCTCCCAAATCACATCTGACTTGGTGTTAAAACATCAACCTTTGGCCAAAATACTCTTAAAACAAAGGCTTAATTGGTTCTGAAGCAGCCTTTCTGAAAACCAAGGGAAACATCTCTGGGTCTTGACCTCGATTACAACACTGCTCTTGGGGTTGGGATAATGATGCGTGTAGGAGGGTTGGAAGGGTTCGCTTCTTCAGAGAGGCCACGGGAGATGCCTAAACAGACACCCACGATCACCTCCGGGGCATCGCTTGGGGGCAGGTGCCATGCTGCTCCACCTCTGCCTTCTGTCTGCGAAGCCTTTTCCCAAGTTCCTGGAGACGGAGGGCGGGTGACCAGTGCCCTACGTGAAGAGGCCTGCACGGAGCTGGGGCCGCTGGCCTCTGCTCTCCCCAGGTCCCTCTGCAGCTCTGCCCGCCCTCACGCACATCACGACAGACCTACAACCCCTGTCGTTGGCGACGCGCGCCAAGGACAACATTGGAAATCAGGGTTCACGGCTCTTTCAAAGTGTCAAGGCCAAGCTAAACACACAGCACTAACCCAAGGCCTCTCCAGGTCTTCACGTGCGCGCGTGAAGAACAGAACTGGACACTTGACTCCTCCCACATAGGTATGTATGTTTCCCTGGCCTAATCGATAGTAGCAAGAAATTGGAAGCCACTCAGATGTCCAACAGCACAGAGAAGGTGCACTGCAGCCCACTGCTCTGTGGAATACTATACAGCAACTGGGAAAAAAAAAAACTGCTACCATGCCCAAAAACTCACAGACATCATGGTGAGTGAGGCCAGACATCAGACAGCTCCACTGATCTATAACTGCACCATCCCGTTCCTCAGAAACCAAAACAATCAGGTCAGGCTAATCCCTGGTGAGAATTCAGGCCGGGAAACTGCAAGACTGCAGAGAGAAGGGAACAGGCTACCAGGAGGATTGGTAAAATGATTCACCAGGCACCGGCGAACAAGAGCCCAGAGGCGAACCCCCAGTCATAGTGTGTTTTTGCAAATAACGCTTGACTGGGACACAGCCATATTTATTCCTTCAGTTACTCTTTCTGGCCACTTTCATCTCCTCATGACAGAACGGAAGAGATGCCATCAAGACCGCATGGCCCGCAAAGCCGAAAATAGGCACTTTCTAGAAAAAGCATTCCAACCTCATTCTGCGCACTGATTTGGGGTGACATCTTCAGGATGCTCATGTCCGGATGAACACACGTCAGGGTTCATCCAGCTCTGCCAAAGACTGGGGGGCCTGGATGGAGCACAGTAACCAAGCACTTGCCTTGCATGTGTGGGGCCCTGGGTTTGATCCTCAGCACTTGAAACAAAAACAAAACCAAAAATCCTCCTAAAGATAGGAGCACAGCGACCACACAGCTGCTAGCGCATTTGCTTGTCTGCGGCTGACCCAGCTTCTAGTCTCCGGCATCCCATGGGTTCCCAGAACACTGCTAGCAGTAATTCCTGAATGTAGAGCCTCTAGTAGCCCCTAAAGATTGCTGGGGGTGGCCCCAACCTCCCACCCCCACCCTCAGAAAAGATCTGAGTACTGGAGCGGAGAGACAGTACAGGGGGTAAGGCACTTGTCTTGCCTGCTGCTGACGTCAGTTCAGATCCCATATGGTCCCCCAGTGCTGGTAGCGTCATTCCTGAGCACAGAGCCAGAAGGAAGCCCTGAACACCACTGGGTGTGGGCCCAAGCCCCAAAAACAAATAAATAAAAGAGATGTATACTGAGCTGTATTTGTATAACACTTCGATTGAAGCCTCTGAAAGTCAATAACGTCTAAAGATGAAAGCCTCTTAATGGTCATTCGGTTACATTTGCGTTACCCGCTTGGGGGAAGGGGATATGGCTGTTTCACTGTCTCTGCGAAACCTCGAGGAGTGGAAAGATGCTTAAGTGAAGGGCCACAGTGATTAGGTACAATGAGTAGGGCGTTTGTCTTGCACGTGGCCAATCTGAGTTCCATCCCCATCACCCTATATGGGTGGCCTGAGCTCCACCAAGAGAGCTCAGCTGAGTGATGAGGCAGGAGTAAACCCTGAGCACCGCCAGGTGTAACCCAAAACCCAAAAAAGTAAAAAGAAGTCTGGGAGTTCCCAGCCCTGCTGCAGGCCTGGCGTGCAAACCTTTCCCCAGAGCACAGCCCTCCCGAGGTTGGCTCCTGAGAGGCCATTCATAGAAATGGTGCACAAGGCTGAGTGCGGGGATTACAAGAGGGCTGGAGGGCAGGGGATGGACCTCATGTGATGCCCGGTGTCAGACTACTCCAGGTTATTTTAGGAGAGAGCTTAGGAGAGCCACAAGCTCCGCTCGGCTTGAAATACAGCCGTTAGCTAAGAAGGTGAACCCGTTTTAAGTTTCCAGGAAAGGAACTTCTGCTCTCGGGGCTGGAGTGACAGTACAGCAGGTAGGACATTCGCCCTGCACGTGGCTGATCCCGGTTCGATCCCTGGCATCCCACAGGGTCCCCCGAGCACTGCCAGGAGTTATTCCTGAGGTCAGAGACAGGAGTAACTGCTGAGCATCGCTGGGTATGGCCCAAAAGCAAAAGAGGAAGGAAGGAGGAAAGGAAAAAAGGAGGAAAGGGAGGGAGAGAGGGAGAGAGGGAAGGAGGGAGGGAGGAACCTCTGCTCTGACAAGCCCAAGTCTTCTCCTGTTTTTCTTGTTTTGCCATTTATCCTTTGATGATCAAACTACAAGGACCACGAGGTTCCATTTGGTGTGGCCCCATCCTGGTCTAGCTGGCATGGGGGAGCGGGGCACAGACAGATTGCCGGCATTGGGCACTAATAAAATGTCTCTCTGTTTGCCCACATGGGAAGCGGGGAGAACAATGCTAACCTGTTCACGGTGGAACAGTAATAGCTTCAGCCCGCCAACAATGAGCTCTGTAATTTACTCCATCTTCCCCCTGAGAATGCGCTTCACAGGGCCCGCACCGTGCCAGGTGGTTTGGAGAAAGATGAACAGCTCGGCCCAACAAGGGCCACTTCAGCACCGGGTGTAAAGACACGACAGCTGGTCTGGGCCAGGCTGGTCTCCGGGTGCCATGGCCCCAGCCAGCCTTTCCACACCGAGATAGGGATCGCCTCACCATTTAAGCTCAACAATTCTCACACCCCAGGCCACAGATCTTCCAGCACTCCTGGGACAGACCGGAGTGACGTCCCTCAGGCCACTGGGCAACCACACACGCAGAGTCAGGGCTCGTTCGCACACTGAGCCCTAAGTCTAAAGCATTTTCTGGGAGCAAAGCTCCCACATCATCCAATGAAACACAGGGGTTAGAAGGATGGGGTCTCGTTGGACACCAGCGGCCCCTGGTTCTACACCAATGTGGGAAAGAGCTGGGCATGGAAGGGCTGTACTCTTCCTGATAAGACAAGTACAGAAGGACCCACGATCTTCATAAAGGACCCACTGCCTTAAAACCAGTACAAAAAGATTCTGGAGCCTCTAGGTAAAATGGAAAAGTCATTCTCTTACCCGGGGTGGGGAATAATTCAACAGTTCCACCAAGGAGAACATCTGCTTCAAAGTCTCATAGGGACATGCAACGATGACAAAGCTACAAAAGAATGGCCGGTGCTCCAGGAGCTCACGCACGTTAAATGTGAGTTACGATGGCCGTCCATCATGGTATCATAAATGACCCAACCAAGACTTCCACTTCCGAGTAGGCCCAAGAAAGAGCCAGGGCTGCACAACAAGGCTTCAGAATCCTCCCTCGAAAGAGTTAAACCAGAACTCACTGGAGAAGCTCAGTACCATTAGTTACACCATGAGGTACTTCCACCCTGGCCAGGCCAGCAGACAGACGAAAATCCTATTAGCCTGCTCCCCTCCACTACTGCATTCTCTTGGCTTCTGTTCAGCTCCAAGTCTATATTAGTCTGTGATTTGTTTAGCCTTTGGATTAAAGAGAATGGAGGTACTACATGAGCAGGAAACAGGGCACTCATCAGAAGCCGGGACCTGTCACCCGTCCCCTCCAGCACTTTTAATGCCATATGTCAACAGGTCCAAGAGAATCCACATTTCAGAACAATCCAACGGGACACTTTTAGCACCACATCACATAATTCCCATCCACCGGAAACAACTCTCTGGCCGTCCCTCTGCCATTTTTCCCACCCCCTTCCTTGACTCTTGCCATTTACATGATATCATTGTGTTGAACTCCAAATTTAAGACCAGCCCCCAGCCCCTGGGAAAAAAAAAAAAAAGCAGGAGCCAAGACAGGCGGGTGAGAGCTCTTGTCTTCCTCATGTCTGATCAAGAAACTGAACCAAAACACACGGGCTTCAAGTACTTTCCATGACTTTTAAGTCATTTTTGTACCCAATCTGCTACCCATGTCTTAGTTTCCCACCTCCCAGGATGAATCACCCACGGCCGTCACCATCATCACTGCCATCCTCATCATCATCCTGCCCATCACTGCCGCCATCACCACCACCACCACCACCACCACCACCACCACCATCATCATCATCATCCTCACCGCCATCCTCACCACCATCCTCAACACCATCATCGAGTTTGGGAGAAGGAAGGGGCAGAGAATAAAAGACACAAGAGACCTACATCTTGACAATTAGAGCTTCGGGATCTCTTGCATTTCCTACCTGAACAGCAAACTGGTGTTCAATCGGTTTGTACACAGACAAATGCGTGCTCCCGGACTGAAAATGGAGCTGTAGAAAGAAACCAAATCAAAGCGTTCTGCTTATGTCACAAACTACAAGAAAAAAACATCTTATGCAGTTTATGAACAGCAGACCAAACCTCCCTAGATTGAATTGCAGCCTTGGCATTCAATCAAGACCTGTGTATTTTTTTTTTATTTGTTGCTATGGATAAGACGATCATCCTAATCTAAGGTAAAGTTTTGCTGTGGTTTGTTCTTAAAGCGTCTATTCAATAAGCCAAAGGGGGGGGGGGGGGCGGGGAGGGGACCAGGAGCGAGAATCAATGACATGAAAAGGAAAGACGGATGCCCATTAAGACATAAAGGAAGCCAGTGTGCTGAGCAGGATGCTGCAAAAAAAAAAAAAAATTAACTGTGTGTGCTACAAAAAAGCCATGAAGATTGCGACATGGAGGGGGGAGAGAGAGAGAGAGAGAGAGAGAGAGAGAGAGAGAGAGAGAGAGAGAGAGGTGAGAGGAAGGGCTGGGGGAGGCGGCAACAGGTCCAAACCCCCTCCCCACTTGTAAAACCTGGGCTCTTGCTCCCAAATGCAAATCTATTTGGGGGGGATGAGGGGGAACAAATGTGCCAGGCAGAATTCAGGGGCCACCCCCCCGCCCCCCCGCCTTTCTACATTCCTTGGAGATGACTAAGCTGTCTCGGGCCATGTCTTGTGGCCAGCTCTCTAGGAATCCTTCCCCAGCACAGATGCCGCCACTGTCCAAGAGACACCCACTGCCCTAAGGACCACCTGATGCCCACCCCCCCGGGAGGAAAGTCTGGTCAGCCCCTGCACGGCAGCGAACAGCACCGAAGCCCTGCATACACGCCCCACCCAAGGAGTGTGACAGAATCCTGAGATGCCTCACGGAATTCTACTTTTCCCAAATGCTACCTGCCAATCTTGGGATCCCCCGCCAGTTGGGGAAATAAGCACCATCTGCCCGTTTATTTTATAAACAATGCAGTCATCACAAGAAGGGTCTAACAGTATCTGCAAATGCATTTTACTTTGCCATAGACAAACAAGAGAGAACAGGGTGGCCCGGAGAAGTCCTTGCCCATCCCCCTGGAAGCAATAGGCAAATCAGCTGCCTTTCCAAACACAGAGCTGTTATTCTAACAACCTAGTGCCATCACTACTGGAGGGCCGCTATCGCCAGAGTACTTCTGTGTCACTCTAACACAGCGCGCCCTGGCCCGCAAGTGAGTTTTGGAGCCAATTATGCTGTTTCTTCTGGTAAAAAATACCCAGTCCACCTAGGTTTTTCAAAAAAGAAAAGAAAAGGGATGGGGGAGCAGGGGAAACTCGCATGAGAACTTTGCAGCTCAAAATAAATACAAATGGTCGTCATCAAAGTTTTGTTCAAGGGGCTGGAGGGACAGCACAGTGGGAAGGGCGTTTGCCTTGCACGCGGCCAACCCGGATTTGATTCCCAGCGTCCCACATGGTCCCCTGAGCACCGCCACGGGTGATTCCTGAGTGCAGAGCCAGGAGTAAACCCTGGGCATTGCCGGGTGTGACCCAAAAAGAAAAAAAAAGTTTTGTTCAAGAATCTAAGGCCACATTGCTCATGGGATGAGGCTCTATGTTATCTAACTTAGGATACACAGAGGGCCCTTGATCTGTGAGAAAAAAAAAAAAAACATGGCTTAGGTTCCTAGCTTGCCCCAAAACATAGTAATGAAAGTTAGAAGATCCAATAACGGAGGGCAAATTACAAAAACATCCCTACTGCTACACCTGGCAAAGCAGAGTGGCACGCAGACCAATCAGAGGCACCCCAGCCCCCACCCCACCCCACCCCCGTGACAGCACCCCTCCCAGAAGCAGTTGATGGAAAGCAAACTGAGAAAACAATGAATTTGCACCCCTGGCCTTCTTGAGAACATTATCCCCAGGCCAGGGAAGATTACACTAATGAGCGAGACAAACGCTCTATCAGTTTAGAACAACTTCAGTGCTAGGGACAGGTTTCTCAGGGAGACTGGAATTCTTGGCCTAGGAGTAGCTCTCCTCTGAGAAGGGGTGGGTGGGGGCAGGGGGAGTTTCCTCTTCCTAGAAAAGGCACCCCTACGACCAGACCCCCCTGAGCTATGGGTTTTATCCTCTTCTCTGGATTCCGGGCTTTATGGAAGGGGGTCCAAGGGTCTCTGGCCAAGGAGCCTGCCAGGGCCATGCATGCACTACCTGAGCTCGGGAACCATGGAATTCTCTTCCTGTCTGTTCAAGACACCTGATAACTAGTGCATGGCAGTGGGGGGCTGGGAGGGGGAGCCCTATCATCGCAGCCTTAGGAATAAATTAATGAAACTGTGGCTAATCCAAATTCAATTTTCACTTGCCTGGGTCCAGGCCTTAATCCAAGCCTTCATCACCACCCAAACGCCTAAGCCCAGAGAGAGGCACCCTTCATCCCAGCCTGAAATGGGGGTGAGTGGGAGGTTGCGGAAGAAGCTGGAGGGCAAAGATCACGTGACCTTCCTTTTCTTCTCCCTCTCCATCCCACCTCTCCTTCTCCCTCCATCCCTCTCTCTGGGTCTCTCTCTGTCTCTCTGTCTGTCTGTCTGTCTCTATCTCTGTCTCTCTCCCCCGCCCTCATGCTCTAAGTCTCCCATACACAGCCCACCCTAAGGCCCCAGAAGGCCCCCACCTAGGATTCTGCCCCACAGAACCCCCCAGTCCCCCTCTAAACACACAGACAAGCTCCAAGTCGACTCCAATTCCCAGCCAGTGACCGCTGGATTCCGCACGTTTCCTGCCAGACTTGCCCCAGCCCCGACCGTGAAGGCTGACAATGTGCCCGTTTCTCCTCGGGGTTTCCACCCCCTCTTTTCCCAAATACTCTTTTCTAAAACACACACTTTCACTGCTCTTTCCTTTCCTCAGAAACACAAAGATGCCTTGTCTGGTCCGAGTCGAGCTTTTTAAGACAGAGATAAAACACCAGGGCCCAGGAAAGGCTTGGCCTTCGAGACAGGAACAATCCTGTATTTCTCTCTCAGGGGGCCAGAAGGAAGGCGAGGTCTGCCGTCCAAGGCCTGCGTGAGTGGGGGCCCCAGGCTTCCTCCCACAGGCGGACACCCTGGTCCTGGTCACTAGTCACCTCATCCAGCAGCAGTGGCTGCTGTCCCCTGGGCAGGCAAAACACCTTCCTGAGTACCGGGTGTTCCGTTAAGTCTGGCACAGGGTTCAAGAGAGAACACCAGGGACCTTTCCATCCATTCTTTCCCATCCTGCCCACTTGCTCGCAGGAACCAACCCAACCTCCTCACGCCCGGGTACAGAGGAGGCTGCACTCAACACCCATCTCCAGCAATAGGCCCGAAACCTGATGTTTCAGGCAGAAGGTGGCCCAGAGTCCCAGAGAACAGAAGTCAAATTGCTTTTGCAACCACTGAAAAATCTCACCCTCAAAGGCCACAAAAATACTAGAAAACCCAGGTTGGTCTTTTCACCACTAAGCAGACGTAAAGAGGGGAATTTTTGTATTCCTATTCATTCACTCAGTTGAGAGGGGGCAAAAGAATGGGCCTTATTTTAAGTTGCAGGAATCACTGTGCTTTCCCCTTCGTTGAAAAAAAAAATCACATCAATTCCCTGAAAGGAGTTGGGAGTGGGGGCATGGGGGGGGAGGAAGACACAAAGCTGAGGTCACTTCCCTCTCCTAGGGACTCACCAAATGATATCAAGTGTTTTGGAGGTCAGACACAGCAAGAAATAAATTCGAGACCAAAACTCAGGGTCCTGCCCACCCTTTTAAACAAGTGTAACGGGTGTCTAACTTGCTAGGACACCGGCCATGGCTAGTGGGAACCGCGGGGCCACACCCTCCCTGCAGAAAATGAAATACCAGACACGTGATACTGCCCCTCCCCGCCACACACACACACACACACACACACACACACACACGCACACACACACACACATGCGCACACACACACACACAACTTAGCCAAAGCACCCCCCTCTTCACTTCTCCCGCCTCCTCCAGAAATGCTGCCATGACAAAAGTCTTGCCTTGAGACAGGAACAGGCTCCCCTCCTGTCTCCGTGTTCCATCAAATGTCTATTTACCCTCATTAATTTTTTCTTTTCTTCTCCTCAACCTGAAACCATCAGCTATGAGTCAGAGAAGGATCATTAACTTTTACAGCTTCCACACACATCCACCTACTCACAGTGGAGCTTCGGGAAAGAAGTTTTGACTTGCAGCACTGAGACAAAAATCCTCTAGTAAGGGAAATAAAAAAAAAAGGGCAAAACTCCCTTCAAGAAAGTCCTGTGGAACGTTTTGGGGGGCTCCACTTCTCTGCGAGGAGTTTAGATTGAACTTGGTGCTAGCAATAAGCACTTCTGGGTCGATTTTGGAGGACAAAACAGATGACTTCCTTTAAACATCAAAATATAATTAAAGTTCTTAAACTGGGGGGGGGGGGTAGGGGGGATGGAGGGGGGGTAGGGGTGACGGGGAGAGAGTCTGTACACAGGGAGCTAAAGCTTAGTGTCCTGTTCCTGCAAAGAAACCTACTTCTGGCAGCTGAAACCAATGGGCTAAAGTGCTGAGACATGTTCCTCACACAGCATTTTTCATTAAAAGTTGCTACACTAACACTCTCAAAATGATCTCCATCATTACTCCACTTAGCAGTCACAGCGCTCAACTCATAACGAATTAATTTGCATTAATGTGGGTTTCATGCGTCTTTCCCTGGGTATGCCACTGTGATTCAGGCTTAATAAAACTGACAGGACGATAACACAGTGCCTTTTATTTCACTTTCCAAAACAAACCCACCCACCCCACAGACCCACACAAACCCTCTCCCCTGCTTTTTCTTAAGCATTTTGCTAATATCTTTAATACATCATAATTGGCCCAGCACGCAGGAACCTAGTTATCTTCTCAGTAAATATTTATGGCATCCCTCTTTCCCATTCATTCTGCATTTTCTTAGGGAATCTCGCTGTAGCTGTAGCCGCCATCTGCAATTCATTGACTT